CTATTCTCTAAGACTCTAAGTTATAGAGAATGCGCTAACCTACACTGATAGAGTGAGCTCCTTCCCCTGGGAGCTCCCTCTACAAATAAAATCACATGTCCAGTCCTATCCTATATGTAACAGAACCTACGGGGTCCAGTTTAGCTTTTCAGTTATGAATCTGATTTCCCTTATCATTATTAAGATACATCTCTCATCACTTTCAGCCTTGTATTGGATTCATTTGGCCTCATATAATTCTGATTAATAAGATCACAGAAGCAATGGATCTCAAGGCACTCTGGCTCCAATTACCAAATCAATAAGATTGTGCATTCCATGTTGGGAGGCAGCTGCCTGGTCAGCTCTGAAAGGTTTATCTGCAAACTCCTCCTCAGACAGTTTTGGAGGCTTTATTTTGCAAATTAAATGAGAGTGCATTCACCAACAGATGTTCCGGAGTCGTTTGCATGTTAACATCCAGCTGAAGTCAGTGGGAGTTTACGTGTGCAAGGAGCACATGGCTGGGCAGAGAGTAAGGAAAACGGCAGTCAGTTTGCTCCTTCCTGGTATTGGATTCTTCTAAAAGCCATGGTCCTAGCCACCACCCTGAGGGTTCTGAATTCTGCCTGCCATATTCATGAATTTTTTCATAAAGGATAAAGAGATAAAAGAGATCACATTGTCTAGACCCTGTGGAAGGGTCACTCATATAAGAAATGATTATTCTGTAGTCCCAGGCAATTTATGACTCAACTTTTCAAGGTCAGAATCATCTCAATTCCAGGCTGCATTTCTTCATAAAGCTAAACAAAATACCCGAAAAGGACTCAAGTTAGTTGAGCATGGGACAGTTTTGTAATGATACTAATTACTTATATAGGACCACAGGACTATGGAATTAGACCTTAGAAATCATGGAGTCCAACACTCTCTTTACAGATAAGTTAATTAATACACATAGAAATGCAGTGAATTGCCCATGGTCACACAGCTAAGTATCTGATGCAGCATTTTAATTCAGGTCTTTCTGAGTCCAAGGCTACTTCTCTATGTATTATGCCACCTATGTATCCTCCATTTTTATTGCTCACTAGGGTTTATGAAATGCTTTTCTGCCAATATCCTTGGGATAAAGATAATTAAAATTTTATCATATCCACTTTATAGATGAGATATAGATGTGACTTAGAGATGTAATGTGACTTGCTCATCGTCTCATAATTATTAAGTGTTACAGAGCCCAGGTTTGGACCTATGTCAGGCTTCTTTTCATACTCCAAAAAGCCTCTCTTTGGGATATTACTTTGCCTTGATTACTATCAATAAGGCAGAGATATATTTGATTCTATCTAGATAAAGATTATGGGAATCTCCTTGAGAATTCAAGTATTTCCCTTTGATTACTATGAAGCCCATGGTCTAGAAAACCATATTCTAGGTGAGAGTCTAGAGACATGTCTTATGCAGTTCAAAGGGGAGAGATTTATCTGCCTATGAGAAGTCCAGATGGAATACCTTTACTGATGAAATAGAAGATCCCTGAAATACTGAGTATTATTATGATAGACACATGAGAAATGACATAAATACCATCATCAAAGATATATATGACCAGAAAAGGTAAGCAGAACATATCATGAGGGGGCAGGGGTGATAGATGGACAGCCCAAGGACTGCTCTGGTGTCCATAAAACATGAAAAGAATCAGAGGAGACCCTCTTTTTGATTGGAGTACTCCTTTGTGGGAGATTTATGGAAAGACAAAGGAAAGAAATGCACAGATATTTATGGAAACCTTAGGATTTAGAGTGGGTAGAGTTATATATATATATATATATATATATATATATGCATATATATATACATACATATGTGTGTGTGTATTTTATGTATATATGCATGTGTATATATACATGCACACACACACACACACACACACACACACACACACACACACACACATATATATATATATATATATACATATATATATATATATATATATATATATATATATATATATATATATATATATATATATATATATATATGTAATATAATTTTGTTCCATCCCACTCATGGGGTTTACACTGAGACCTAGAGAAAGGAAGTGGCTTGCCCCATGAACGCAGAAAGCAGTAGAGCCAGCATTCAAACTCAGGTCTATCAGACTTCAGACTCTCTGCTCTACTGATGGCTTGTGCCAATGGTGGTAATTACCATATTGACAAGGACACAGCTTCAACAACTTTTGATCTATTATTATTGTTATTATAATTAAGGTAGAGGGTAGGATCATAGGGTTTAGAAAAGAGGTTGTAGGAATTAGAAACAAGTTGGGGGCAGAGTAGGTTCATTCGAAGGAAGAGTAAACAAGGCAAGTGGGGGAGGTACAGGATAGTAGGCCTTGGGGCAGGTTGTAGGTAAATTTACATCAGGAATTTTCAAGTTCTTTGAAGCCTCCTATCTCTGACCTGGCTAGCTGGATAGTGTTTACAGGAAGGTGACTAGGATAGTGACTGTATTAGAGGTCACATGAAGATGGAACTTCTGATGGAGTTAAGAATGTTTAACCTGCAGAAGAGAAAACTAGGGAATGTGCAATTGATGCTTTTAAGTATTTGAAGGCAGAAGAAGGATTATATTTGTCCTGCTTGGCCACAGAGAACAACTAACAGTAGATAGAAGGTATTGCTGAGAGACAGGTTTTGGTTTGGTAGAAAGAAAAAAAAAGGCTTCCTGACAATTGGAGGTGTCCCTGAAGTACAATGAGTTGCATCTGAAGGTAGTGACCTATCTCTCAGGTGGATGCTAGATGACTGCTTACTGAGGCTATTGCAAAGGAATGCTTGTTGATGTATGAAGTAGAATAGATAAATGCCTCTGAAGTTCCCAAGAAGTCTGAGATACCATGATTCTAAGAGAACATGAAGAATCACCCTTGTTCTCAGGTGCTGGCAATATTAACCACAGCTCATTACATGTACCAGCTAGGCAGAGCACTGCCAGTCAAACTCAATTAAGCCCTGAACCAGATGACTGGCACCTAGGAAAGAGAGTGGTCACTTACGTCATCACCAGAGTCTCATCCCCCGGCTCACTTAGCAGTCCATCCACGAAGACTGAAGTGCTGGTGAAATTGTGTGTGCTCCAAGTATGACCCTCATCAATGCTGAATCTGGAGAAGGAGAGAGAGACAAAGAGATGAGATAGAAAGAGAGTCAGAGTCAGAAAAAGAGATGAGAGAGACACAGAGAGAGACAGAGACAGAGAGTAAGAGAAAGGGATAGAGAGAAAGGACAGAGAGGTAATCAGGACAGAGAGGAAAAGAGAAAGAGATTAGGAAAGAGAGAGAGAGAGAGAGAGAGAGAGAGAGAGAGAGAGAGAGAGAGAGAGAGAGAGGTCACATTTCACTTGTCACATCTGATCTCACCATCTAGGGGCATTCCTTAAACAAATAGCACAAGGGGGTTTGCGTGTATGTTTCCTTTTTCCATTTGTTGAGTAAAATGTCAGCCTGACAACAGAGGACTACAGGTACCTACAGATCTAGTCACATTTCCTAAAAGTCAGCTGGGTTTGTCTAGTCATAAGTATTTTAATTAACTAAATGTCATCCCAGCGCTCCCACCCACCAGTCCCACTCAGATGCCTGTGGGGAAAACCAGGCAGAAAATGTATCATTGACAACTGGCGGCTCTCCTAACAGTCTCTGGATCTTGTCAGATGATAATTATAATAATAATAGCTCAGTATAATATAACATAATAGATGTAGTATAGTGAGAAACACATACACACACACACACACACACACACACACACACACGCATATCCCCCTAAGAGTCAGGAAACTTTTCCTGTCCTGGCTCTGGCACTTTCTAGCTGTGTGCCTTTAGACAAGTGACATCCATCCTTTGAGCCTCATTTTCCTTAACTATAAAAGAAAGGGAGTAGGATGGCATGATGTCTAAGATCCCTTCCATATCTTAAGTTCTATGTTTTTATAACACACATGCCTTCAGACTGCAGCTATAGATTTAAAAGAACTATTGCTTGGGATAAGGACTTATTTTTTATTATGGGTCCTGAGTGCTTTCCCTCCCCACTATGTAGTCTTATCAGCTTTTAAAGCTACTACCCAAACCATTTTATTCTCTTTCCAAGGGCTGGTGGACACTTCAGGTCTTTTCTTTCCTCCCCATAAAGAAACATATCTTAGCCATAATAGAATGTTAGAATGTAGAGTTGGAAAGACTTTAGTATATAGACCCATAACATTTTTAGAGCTGGAAGAGACCTTAGAATACAGACCATAAACTGTCAGAACTAAGAGTGGAACATAGAACAAAGATTATAGAGAGTGTCAAAGCTAGAAGAGGGCTTGGAACATAGAACATAAAATGTCACAGCTGGAAGAGACCTCAGAAGACCAAACATAATAATCTTATAGCTGGAAGACACCTTATAAAACAGATCCTAGCTGGTCAGAGCTGGGAAATTAGAACATAGAACATATGGTGTTAGAGCTGGAATTGAATTCGGAGCATAATATAATGTTGAAGCCAGAAGTCATTTGAGAACACAGACCATAGATTGTCAAGGCTAGAAGGGAACTTAGAACAGAAGGCTAGAACTGGAAGTGGCCTTAAAGATCATTTTGCCCAACCCTGTAATTTCACAGGTAAGAAGACTGAAAGTCTAGAGATGTTAGATCACTTGCCAAGTTTAGTTACATAGCTAGTTAGAGGGACTGACAGACCAACCAGTCATTTGGTTGCTCTTAATGGCCACATACAACCTAGGATCAAAAGTCATGGGGAAGAAACAAATAAACACACAGGTAACCCCTTCCCTCTCCCCTTCCCCCAATCACCACAATCCATGTTAAATGCACTTGTTCTGCTGTAAAGGAGAAAAGCCTTACTTGAGTATTTTCAAGGGGATGGATGTATCTTTGACAGCCACAATCACTCCACCATGATCCAGGTATAGAATGTGGTGTTCCTCTTCGAAGACCTAGAAACCAGGCCAAAGAGAATCACTGAACAGCTGAAGGGTACATCTTAAAAGGCATCAGCAAAATAAATTACAATCAGAAACCAGAAAAATGTCTCGACCATTTATTTTTCAAAGCATACTTAGCAACAGCAACAACGAATAATTGGTCTTGGGTTAAGCTCTGATTCACCATCAATCTGTTGCCACTTCTCCTCTTGGACTTAAGTTTTGTCAACTGAAAAAGAAGTGGGGTAGGACAGATGATTGTTAAGTTCCATCTTGTTCTAGCATTCTGGTTTATGTTTAAAGATCCGTTCTGGTTTCAACATTCTATCCCAGCGCTGATATTCAGCAGTCTATGTTGAAATGGCCATTACAGTTCTAACCTTTTACCTTTTAACATTCTTTTTTGTAACCTGTTGTGATTCTAAGGGGAAGTGTGGAAAAAGGAGATTCTGCATGGAGTTCAACTCTTGTCTCAAAGGTCTAAATGACAGTTTCAATACTTAACAAACAAGCCTTTATTCTTCTGAGAGCACTGGTCCCAGTCATCACAGTAGGCAACCACCTGCATCTCAGTTTTCTGTTTTCCTTCTATGGAAGGCCTAGTGAGACATGAACTTCAGTAAAAGAGATGATGTATGCACAAGCACACTTTAGCTTGTAAAATGCCCCATAAATACAATGTGCTGTGGTTTTTATGATTAATGTCTCCTATCAGTTGATAATATAACATGTTTCTCCAATGGGTTTCCTAGTCACAGCTACAAATGGAAGATTTTCAATCTACCAATTTTTTTTTCCACCAGCTGTTCAGTCTTTACTGTAGAATGAAAACCTTTGAAAGCACTTCCATTTCAATTCTCTTTCTTAGACTTTAAAAAGAAATATGACTTTTATCACTGATCTCAAAACAAAATAGCCCCAGTGTTTACACATGTTGTGATGACATCTAGTATTATTGAACTTTGAGAAGGATTGTTGTTATTCAATCAACATGCACTTATTACACTGTATGTGTGAATCAATAGGCATTTGGTAGGCACTATGTGAGGTACTCTTAAATTAAAGAAGATAAACTGAGATGTGTGAGATTTTCACAGAATTATAGCTTCTCACAACTAAAAAGAGATTCAGAAGTCATCCAGTCCATCCTATAACTAAGCAGAAAATCCAATCCAAAGCTAGGCATTTAATGGCCATTCCAATTCTGATTAAAAACCAGCAATGGTGAGGAATCATTTTGGTAGTCCACTCCCTTTTTGAACAGCTCTGTTAGGAAGTTTCTTGTTGCACTGAGGTGAAATTTATCTAACTTCACAGACTATGAATATGGGGCAAAGCTGTAAGGGTGGACTGACAATAATCCACTCATTTGTATTAGGAACAGTGCCAACTTAGATGCTGATGACCAAACAGATATGGTAATGGAACTAAAGGACTCCAAATTAAGCATGTATTAGTTGCCAAGAGAGATGTTTGCACGTGTAGATGCCCCATTCTCAAAGATACATGAAATCAGAACTGTGATGCCAACTACCGAAGGAACAAAAACTATCTGTAATCCCCAAATTCTTCTGAAAGCTTGGAACTAACAAAGACAACATATCAGCAGCATATTCATTGACCTCATCTTCTTTGACTGAGTTGTCTCTATGACTGGTAAAGAGAGCAGAAGGCTGGTGAAGGATTGTGAGGATTGACAAGAGCCAAGATACAAAGTGGCAATGCCAAAGAACTGAAGTATCTGTCTCCTTTGAGACGATGGCAGAAGTAGGAGCTGCACAGGAAGATGATATACCAGACTGTCATTGATCCCATGCATGGTGCTACAATAGTATTTCCACACACATATTAGTCTATGGTCATGAAATCTTTACATGGTGACTTTAGATGTATTAGTTAAGAAGATACCTTAAAGATAGTGAGAAATGGATTTTACTTGCCTCAGATGGCTGCAGATGTCACCAAGGAGCATAAAATTTGTGCCTGTGGCATACAAAGAAATGTGCTACCAATGTGTGCTTCATATTTGAAAAACATGACCATGAACAAACCTTTGGAATTTGCTGACTTCATTTACTATCTCTAGAAGGAGACCGTAAGAACATAAGCCATATATGGTGACAACAAGCCATTTCAAAAGGAATTTAGAGGCAACATCAGATCAGAAATTAGATTGGTTCCACAAACTAAAGTATTGTAGAAGAAGATTTTCTTGGTATAGGAACATATTGCTAGATCTAGGCAGAGATTGATGAAAGGGATATTGGCTTTAATTGGCATTAAGAAGGTGAGAACAATCCCTTACCATCTTTGAGGGGATCCACATCATGTATGTTTCAATAACTCATTGATGAGTATGTGGGGGCACTGAGATCAGAACAAAAAATCTCAGTGGTGTCACCATTTGGCTATCCTAACACATATATACAACTCCACCAGGAATCATAGCTCTGGTTGTATGTCCTACCCACCTACTGATATTTATGTGTGAGCCATTCCTATCAACTGACTTGCATTTGGAGCCCATGAGGATGGCAGGGTAGGGTTTGGGAGCTGTAGGAACTCATGATTGGGACATTTCTTATGTTAGAGGGAAGCTAAAGTACCACCTAGCTACAACTTCAGCCCAGAAGAATGCTAACAGAAATAAATTAAATTATGATGCCTGAATTCACTGACAAGACCTTCAGTAAATTGACATGGTTTTGCTGAGAAATCTTGATGTTTATGGAACACACAAATTAGTAGATAATGGAAATCTACTTCATACCTAATTGTAAATAGAGTGGGCAACTTGACTGTTTACAAAGGTCCTGGAAGCTTTTGCAGGTTTACAAAAGGCCACTGGACAAGGGGGCGCAAGAAGAGTTCACCGGTAAATATTGTCTGAAGACTAGATAGAGACAGATGAGCACTTGTGAATGAATGAATGAAAAAACATTTTAACTGCTTGTTGTTGTGAATAAAGTGCTTATTTTATGCCAAACACTGTGTCAAGTACTGGGGATACAAAGAGAAAAGCAGAGTAACCCTTGTTTGCAAGGAACTCACATTCCAATGGGGGAAACAATAAAAACCAGGTTCAGCTGCAAGTAAAATGAAAAAGCCCCATAGTGTTTAGTGTATAGCAGCTGGGAAGACAGTAATGCATCTTCTTTAATTTCATTTCTACTGATAAAACCATATCTATGGCTGATGTTCAACCATTTAACAGTGCCAAGGACTTTGGAGATATGAAGATTCTTTTCTAGATCTTCAGTAGCTTTGGTTGAAGTTCCTCTAGAACAGGTTGCCAGATTGTATCTTGACGGGATACAGAGAGTTGCTATCTGGGATGATACCTTGGAGGGCTGAATCGGAAGCAGGATTAATGATCTGGATGGTGCTGTCATTCTGAGAACTCTTGGGCTTGCCTACCCATCAGGGTCAATCAGTTAATAGTTGAGGTTGGTGATGATGGGCACGTTCAGCCCCTTTTCACAGTAATTTCTCCTCTCAGTGCTGATTCAAGGCTGGAAGCAGGACCTGTATCTTGGCAAGTCACTGCTCTTTCGAAGGCTCTCAGGGTTAGGGTATCGAGCTATCTCCATCAGCGTTGGATAGAAGTAGGGAAATGGTTGTTGAGGTGATGGCAGTGGTTTGACTCAAGAAGCAGATGCTACCTCAAGTCTCTTTTGGAGTACCTTGCTGCTGTAACTAGGCTGGCTTGTCTACCTTCTAAGCAAAAAAGACTACCTGCCCATACAGCAAAGACTATCTGAACCAGGCAGTGGCTTAGAAACAGACATCTCAAGTGAAGAATCTTCAGTGAACTATATCCCAATGACCAATTGAAGTGACCGGAGAGAACTGAATCCAGAAAAAGCAACTTTTCTGCTTAGAACTTCAATTATGGAGCCTCCTAGTTTGGTGGGATAATAGGTATAGAAAGGGGAGTGATATCCAATGAGACTGAAAGGATAGATGGGGACCAGTTTGGATAGGGCATTAACAAACAAACATAAGAGCTTATAGTTTATTCTAGAAGCGATAGGGAACCACGGGAGTTAAATAAGGACATCACAGGGTTAGACCTGCTAATCTTTATTTATGAAATGTGTATGTTACATGTCATTGCATAGGTTCATTGCTGAACATGTCAATTATGACATTTTAATATACTTTTATTTTTTATGACCAAGTTATTTTGCTTTTGTATTAGTATCATGCATGTATCGTTTGCTAGTCTGTTAATTATTCAAAATTTTGGCTGTGCGTATGTTGCTATTTCTTCATTTTAAAAATTATTTTATAGGCCTACTGATATCGTTGCTCTATTTAGCTTGCTGTTATGCATATTTGCTTTGGTTCTATAAATATGAGTGTATTGCTGACATGTACATATATTATATAGTACAAAGTAATAAGACTTGTAGTCACTTTAGCCTCATGTTGAGTAATGCTTTAGATTGTGCTGTGTCTATTGCGTGTATTGTAGATATACCCATGCTGTGAAAGGCACTCTAAAATGGACTGGGATAATCCTTGTCATATAAAGTGCTGATGTTTAGGATGATATTATGTCATATATCCAGATGTCAAATGTGCTGCAGCTGATCTTGCAAGAGACTAAAAGCTTTCAAAGCCCAGGGAGGAAGGTAACAACATGTTTGGGGGTCAATTCGTAGCTGCATGGGTTACTGGGAGATGTTATCTGATACCAATTTCCTTGCTTTCTTCCCACCCTAGAAGAGATTAAAAGACTCTGTGGGAAGTTTATGCACAGGCACAAAATGTTGGGACGAGATGCTAGGACATACATGCTTGATTTGACTGAGCAAGGAGATAGTACAGAACTTTGAGTAGAAGAGTAAAGGTTGAGTCAGGTAGATGGCCCCAAGGCATGACTGAGAGTTCTTCAACAGCCTCTGGCTTTCATGGATTTTTATGACTTTCATGGTGATTACTTTAGTTGATACACCTAAGTCATTACTTGACCACAGATAATGTCACTGGCTTATCCCTCCTTTTTT